ACTGGGAAACATCCATACACAGTCATTCACACATACACTACAAACAATTTTAGCTTACCCAATTCAACTTATCAATTTTAGCTTATCCAACTCACATGAACACGGGGAGAACATGCCAACTCCACACAGAAATGCCAACTGACCCAGGCTCGAACCAGCGACCTTATTGTTGTGAGGCGATTGTGCTACTCACTGTGCCACTGTGCTGCCCCTCTCATGCTGCCCCTTTAAACCATTTTATTAAATTTTTAATTTAAATTTACATTTTTTATTAAATACACAACTGAATACATCCGGTTTGATGTGCAACTGTATGTTTTATTAATGAGAGGTACAAAATGTAATCTTAATCTGATTTCATTGTGTATATCAACCATTTAATCTGAAGAATTTATTGTATGAGAGACTTTATTATTCTTCTGTTGCATTCATACACTAGATTCATGCTTGCCTTTAAATAGAATAGATCTTTTTTTTTCTTTTCCTTTTTTACAAAAATGTTTGCAGAACGTTGTCTTTTTATTATCACTTTTCCTAATGCATTAGAAAACTATGAAACTAAGAGAATGTATGGATCACCCAACCACTGCAACGCTTGAAAGAGAAAGTGTTTGTCTAAATTGAACAAGTTTTGCGAGGTAACAATTATCTCTGCACTGAAACACAAAATTTATAAGAAAACGCAAAAACTTATTTTTTTTTCCTCCCTTACAGTTATTTTTTTCCACCACTATGTCCCTTTAGGCGCTCCGTACATGTTGTTATGAAATCAAAATAATATTGTGTGCTCTTAAAGGGCACCTATGGCGAAAAATCTACTTTTCAAGCTATTTGGACAAACGTGTGTATATATAGTGTATAGACCAGGGAACCACACCTGGGGGCTGTTTCAGAAAGCAGGTTATGTGACATACCCGGGTAAGTTTGAGAGTAAGTAGGTGGATAACCTCAACTTTGGTTCCAAAATCGGAGGTAACTTCTGGGTATGTTAAGTAGCCATAGCAACTTACTCTCTGAAGATAACCTGCTCCGGAGCAGGTTATGTTGAGAGAGTAAGTTGCTATGTTTCAGAGTTTGTCTGTTTCAGAGAGTTTACTGAGCATTGCGTGCTCTTTTGATGAGAATATTTATGGATGTGGACACACAGATACAAGTTTTTTCGTTGTGAGAGGGTTATAAGTGCATAGTTTTTTTTATAACCAAATTCATAATGTTAATGTATTTAACAAACCTTTTTGAAATCAAATGTGACAAACCGCGGGTCTACGCTTACCATAAAAAACATTCAGTGCAGCTCTTTGTATTCGCGTCAGGGCATTTTAGGCAACTGTACAATGTGGCAGTATGACCACCTGTACAGTATGCCTGGCACTGAACTGTTTTTTTACACTTTTGTACAGTTCCTTGGTCATAAATCACTGCGTATCATTACACAGCTGATTCAGAGCACGGGAATAGTGTAGTGGACAGTGCGTCGATAAAGAACAACGGAGCGCACAACGAAGCGAGTTCGAATCTCACTTACAGATCTTGTGTTTTTCTCTCCTTCTGCACCCTCACATTTTTCTGTATAATATTATAAGTGGCAGCTTTGTCTTTTGTAGGAAAATATATCTTTAAGATGTAGGACGTCGTTTATATGTATACATTCACGCGCACACACCTACATTTTTTAATATAATATTTTTTTCATGGTTTCTAAATGCTATTGTGTGCATTAATTGCAGCCGATTTTAAATCTCCATCAGTCAATAAAGGACACTGATAATATAAAATTTGTCCAAAGTATAAGTGTGCAGGTACAACTTAATTTTCTATCCTTAATCTTTTGGTGTTTCAACTATTAAACTCATTACTGCTTCCACTTACCAGCTCATCACACACCCCACCTCATCACTATATGTTGAGGCTAAATGGCTGATTTTCAGGAAGTAATGATTCAAGTGTATAACACAAATATAGTAAAAAAAAAAAAAAAAACTATAAAGCAAATGTTGCTTAACACAATGTTTATTTTTATTATATTTGTATTATAAAATAGAATCATTACTGGGCACTACATTGTTACTTGCTGGAGGACAAAAGATACCCTTTTCTGCCTTATACGATGACACGTACCTGCAGCCTGACCCAGAGGAAATCTCTGTGACCCAAGCTGACAAAAGAGATGGAAGAGTGCTAAAAAAATGTAATTTGTCAAAAAACTATGTTTAATCAAATAGTTTGGTCTGTTAATTTCTTAATTTCCTGAAATAAAATGAATGATTTTTTTATACTGCTTTATACACACACCTTTCAACGTGTAACATATTTTTCATATACATTTCTCACCTTAAGGTGATGCTCATGTGACTTTATCTTTGAAGATGGACCTTATACAGCTACTTTAGAATTTAAATATGTAGATAAAAGATTTTGTGATCCAAGAGTAATATTCAAATATGGAAAAGTGCAGAAAATTCTTACACTGCTTGTTAGTTGAGGCAGAAGGAACTTCGTTTGCATGCAAAATAAAAAGAACCTAAAGCTATCTGACAACAATCACTTACAACAGTGACAGAGTGTGTGGTTTAAGTCAAAAACTCAACCACTGAAAAGCCTTTATTATAGGACACAGCAGTTAGACAGGCCTCTTTCTCTTAGCTGCATGACAAAGAATATTCTAGAGTGTTAAATACAGAGCTCCAGTAATTAAATATTACCTTTTATGATAATGTTTCTGTGTTTAATGACTTTGGACAGAGTTCTAGCTTCAGAAAGATTACAATTTCTATAAGCCTTATTAGTCAATACACATATTGTGGCCTTAAGAAATGAATGGCAAGAAAAATAAATGCATGAATGGTTACACAACATACTCAAAAAGGATGTTAAAGAGTAGTTTAATTTATCATTACAATAAAATGGAGGGTGGCATGTGTATTTTACTGAACTAATAAATTTTCTTATTATTTATTTTTTATTTTCTTATCTATTTCTTATTCATTTTTTTTTTCCTTCGTTGAAGCAGATGTGTAAACTCTGTGTTTAAAACCTCCAGCTTCGCCTCTGTAAAGTGCGTTGCCCTTTTTTTCTCACCGTGACTTTCTATGGTGACTCGTGAATTCGGCGATCTACTGAAAATGCCTTCAGGTGTGTGCCGTGCACGCGCATTAACCCGCGGTTATCTTCAGGAGGTTGATTTAACTAACTCTTGTCACCTGTTTTGGAACCAACATACTCGCGGTAAGCAGGTTTTGGGTAAATCAACCAAGAGTTTAGGTTTTAGCAGATGGTAAGTTAACCCAGCTTTCTGGAATACCCCCCTGGTTATAGACCATCATATTGGGGTGATATAAACACACCCAGTCCTTTTTGTTTTTTAATTTAACAACAAATAAACGGTGGACCAATTAGAGCGGTTTTCAGATCGACCACAACTTTACGTAGGAGTGCGGTCCCTCCGCCCCCCGAATTGATTGACAGCTGCGCGCATTAACATGTCTCGGTAGTCACGTGTGTAAGTCAACAAGACCAGACATACGCAAAGCAACCGGGAATAAAACGTCTGTTCAGAGTAAGTTTCACATGTTTAAAGTGTTTTAAAACAATGCACTTGTGTAATTAATTACAGCGATTTACTTCAGCTTTACTTCATCAGCACAGCCGTGTGTCAGAACAATTATAAAGGAAGACGCTTGAATCCTGGTTTGTAGAATGGTTGAATCAGGTTTATTTTATACAATAACGTAACAGATCTCCACACAGCAGTGGAGATTAGCCTGTATCCTGTCACATTTGAGTGCAAAAACAGTGCAAAGCTAAGTGGGCTCTGTCTGTCTGTCTGTGTGTGCGTGCGTGCGTGCGTGTGTGAACTTTGTAACGATATTGCGTGTGACTCATCAATGCAACTTCACAACAAATACTGATTGGTAAAGTTCTTACTGTACTATTTCTCACAAACGCTATGTGAGCCCTTCTTCCTTTAAGTCTGTTTGTTGTCTGATGCCGAGGGAGGAGATTAAAGCGCGCGGGAAGGCACGTAGAAACAGTAGGCGGGGAGGACTTGTCTTAAAGGCACAGTATGACAAAAACACCCCCTGGTGGAAATATGTATAATACAGGATCTTGTAAAAGGTATAATGAAAAATCGGGTGTTTTGAGCTAAAACTTTACATACACATTCTAGAGACGCAAAAGACTTAAATCTGAAAAAAGGGGTAACCTAGGTGTCCTTTAAAGGGATTTTTCACCTTAATCTTAATTTTTTTAAAAATTATTCATCCTAAATCTGTGTTCTTAAACTCAGTCTTGGAGCGCCGCAGCTCTGCATAATTTGGCTTCAGCCACCACCTACTCACACCAGCTTAACAGTCTCTAGAAGTTTTGAAAACTGATTAGTTGGATCAGCTGTGTCTGTTTAGGGTTGGAGCAAAACTGTGCTAGGCTGCAGCCCTCCTGGAATCCAGTTTGAGACCTGTGATCTAAAGCCATCCAACATGTTGGTGACTTTAAGCAAAATATCAAAGATGTTTTTTAGCTGGAACTTTGTTTAATTCATGCATCATCACAAGCAGTGAGCTGTTCCTGTCTGCTTTAGACAGCAGTTCACGGTTCTATCATGTGTTTTTCAAATACAACCAAATAATACATTCATAAGCATAAGATGAAATTAACAAGAAACCTACATTGAACAAGTGCTGTAGCTTCAGATAGACTTTCACATAAATCGAACCTTTATACTGCTTTTTAAAAATATTTTAAGAAACTGCCCAAACCAGGGGTGCCCAAACTGTCCTGGACGTCTGGTGTCCTGAAAAGTTTAGCTCCAACTTGCTTCGACACATCTGCTAGGAAGTTTTTAGTATATCTAGAAAGAGCTTGATTAGCTGGATCAGGTGTGTGATTTAAAGTTGGAGCTAAACTCTCCAGGACCAAGTTTGGGCACCCCTGCCTGTAGCGAGCTATTATGAAAACTGTCCACAGTCATTAGTCTTATTTTTTATTTTGTTGTATTTTAGGACAAAAGAGGAATCAAAGCTCCCTGCTCCTTGCGTATTGTGGCCTGTGGAGCTGAAGTTGACTCACATTGACTGCAGGCCTGAAAACAAACTGGTACACTTTCAGGGCCAATACATGACAATCTGTGAACTGGACTACAATATTCTTCAAGTTGAAATTCAAAATGCGGTGAAATCGAAAGTTTCTGTTCAAGTTGGAGATGTTTGTCTGGTAGAAGACTCCGGGTCTGGTCGCTGGTACAGAGGAAGAGTCCAGAACATTGAGAAAGATAAGTTCCACATATTTTTGCTGGACCATGGAGACATGATGATTGTTGGACCCAACTGTTTGTCCTCAATATCCGACACACTGCTAATGCTTCCACCTAAGATTGTCTGTGGTTTTTTTGCCAATATTCTGCCAATCCAGAGCCAATGGGACAGTCTGACAAACAGTTATTTCTCTTCATTAAAAGGCAGCCGGATCAAAGGATACATTCACGCTCGTCTACCATACCATATCCTCATACTTGAGGTTCCGGAAATCAATAGTGACATGATAAAAAAGAGGCTAGGGAGACATGTGGACACCAGTACATTTTTGCTACTGGTTGAGATGCTTATTGATGAACCAATTCCACAAAGCAATGAATCTGTCCCCGACCTCTTGATAGAAAAGCAAATAGGGCAAGAATATTGCCTCAAGTCCTCAAGCCTACTGGGCTTTGAAGAAATTCTGTCACTTAATGGCCCAAAGTTGAAAGTTGGTCAGGAAGTAGAAGTTGTGGTAGCTGCAGCTGTGAATCCTGGATTATTCTATTGTCGACTCTCATCCATGGGCAAGGACCTGCAAGAAATGTCAGACAAATTGGCACTAGCATGTGAATCAGGCAGTGGTTGCCTGACCAATGACCTAGATGAAAACCTTGGTTTGCTCTGTGCAGTAAAAGGGAAAGATGAAAAATGGCACAGGGGTTTTGTTGAATGCCTCCCCCTTAACTCTCAGGTCAAAGTTGTGTTTGTTGACAGTGGCTATTGTGAATCTGTGAAAGTTGAAAACATCCTTCAGCTACCGTCAGAATTTCTCTCAAGGCCGATCATGGCATTCCCATGTTCTCTTTCATGCTTGGAAAAACAAGATGAGGACATCAAAAATCAACAAGTAGATGCTCTCAAGACTGGGTTGCTAGGGAAAGTTTTGGAGATAGAAATCGATGACTTTCGCAAAGATCAGAACCTCTACTTGGTCACGATGAACATTGCTCAGAAGCACTCAGAGAAGCAAGCTGGAGTTAAACCACATGAAAGTGACAATTTAAGGAGCAATTCCAACTTTCCTTATGATGTCCTTTCAAATGTGTCTGCTGGAGAGACAAAAGTGGCCCAAACTTCAGATTCAAATCCTAATAGAGCAATACCTGATGATTCTTTTTTTGAGGGATATGTGGTACATGTACAGAGTCCAAAACATTTCTGGATAAGAACCAAAGAACACAATCCTAATTTTGAAAACATGACAAAGGAAATGGCTGATTACTTCAGCAAGTTACAGTTGCACGAGGAGGTTTTTGAAGACCTAGTGCCAGGTGCACTTTGTTGTGCAATGTACGAAAATGACATGCAATACTACAGAGCACTTGTAGTAGATACTTTGGATAAAGGAGCAGAGGTGTTTTTCATTGACTTCGGGAACACTGAAAAAGTGCCAGGCATTTTAATTAAAAAGCTCCCAAAGAAGTTTGCCATTCATCCAGAATTTGCAATGGAATGTGCATTAGCCCATGTAGCTCCACATGAGGACATCTGGACAACCACAGCATCCAATTACTTCAGGGAAGTCACATCAGACAAAACCTTGATGATTCATGTCGTTCATAGAAAAAATAGAAAGTATGTTGTTGATCTGTTTGAGAGAGATGCTGAAAATTGCAGCATCGCAACCATCATGACAACAGCTAAAATGGCCCTGGACTGGAGATACAACCCAGCGTTAGCATCTGTTGAAATTGAGAGGCCATGTAAATACAAGGGAAATGCTCTGAGCAAGAAAAAAAATAAAAAGGACCTTCGTGTGGTGACCTTTCACAAAGTCACATCTTCTATGTCCAGTCCAAATCAAATTGAACATGAATGGGAACCACAGAATTACCTTGAAAAACATACTCCCAGTGAGACATTGAAACCGGAAGTTGTTCCTGCTAAGACTTTAAAACCAATGCATTTCAAACCTGGTTCTGAAGTAAGTGTCATTTGCTCACATGTAAATACTCCATCTGATTTTTGGTGCCAAAATGTGAGTACAAAACTTGACCTGGACAAACTTATGGAAGAGATGCAGTTGTTTTACCAAACATATACATCTGGTCTTCTGATGCCTGCATTATGTTGTGCTGTTAAGTCTCCACATGATAACCAGTGGCACAGAGCATGCATGATAGGACAACACAATGAGCAACTGCTTATGATCCTAGTTGATGTTGGCCTAATTATTCAGGAAAAGTTGCAAAACATCCAAACTCTTCAGCCACAGTTCCTTGAACTTCCTACACAAGCATTTAGATGCAGATTGAACTTCATTGAACCCATTGGAGGGAGTTCTTGGAGTTCAGAAGCATGCAATTTGCTCAGGGATTTTCTGTTCAAATGTACATCCAGCAAATGCAGGATTTATTCCCAGGTTTATGAAAAAGGAAAAGGTCTACTTAACATTGTCAGCATTCATACACCTCTTCAACAGGCCTCTACATACCTTGTAGAGAAAGGTGTTGCAGCAGAAGTACAAGCTCCAGACAAGCATACAATTTCATCGGCTCACCCTTGGTCATTCGTTTACTCCTCTTTCAACATAAGTTGTGGAAGTGAAGAACTGGTGCATGTTACTTATGTCTGTAGCCCTTGGGAAATCTATTTCCAGCTCGATAGAAATACAGAGATCCTTAATAGACTGACAGAGAGAGTTGCAGAGGAAAGTCAGCTCTTCACTTCAATTTCTGACAACTGCAGCAGTAAAGTTTGCTTGGCCAAATATTTCTGTGACGGCAGTTGGTACAGGGCTCTGGTACACCCTGTTCAATCTAATCAGCATGTGAGTGTTGTCTTTGTTGATTATGGCAATAAGGAGATTGCAGAGAAAACAAATGTCATGGCAATTCCGACAACAGCAGTTGACGTATTGCTAACACCAATGCAGGCTCTGAGATGCAGTCTTTTGAATCTTCCAGAGGGGGAACATTTGCCGGAAGTCAACAAGTGGCTTGAGACTGAAATCCTCAACAAGTCTTTCAAGGCCAAGTTTGTGTCAAGCGACACCAATGGACATTTTGTTTGTGATCTTTATGATGGCAATTTGCATATCAATGAAAAAGTCAAAGAGCTCATGGCTGCTCATGGTGTGGCACAAAGTGACCTAGCTGTCAACAAACTTGAGTTAGATTTCCCCAAAGAAGAAGCGCATGCCAGCTTACCGAACTGTAAACGTAACCACAAAGCAACCAGACGCAGTAAAGCCAAACAAAATGGAAAGCAAACTCCAAGATCCACAAACCATTCCAAGAAGCAACTCAAGGAACCTGTTGAAATGGAAGACCAGAATGCTCCCTGTCCACTTAAAGTAGTGCCATCTCATCAGAGCTTGCCAAAACTTTGTGATCTTCCTGCTGTCACAATGAAACCAGGTTCTAGAGGTGTGGGCTTTGTCTCTCATAGCATTTCTGCTGGAAGATTTTTTATCCAGATGGAAGATGATGAACCGAAATTACTACAGATGATTGAGGAACTAAATGGTACTAACTTCAAGGATAAAAGAAGAAATGTGGAAACCGAAATAAAAGTAGGGGACCTTGTTGCAGCAGAGTATGAAGAAGACTTGGCTTTGTACAGAGCTGTCGTCACCAACGTGTTAAACTCTGACCTACTAGCTGTTGAGTTCATTGATTATGGCAATACTGCAACTGTCGACAGGAAGAATGTTCACATGCTAACCAATACGTTTTTGTCTCAGCCCAGATTGAGCATGCCCTGCACACTTGCAAAACCGCACCCATTTGAAAATGATGACTCCTTTACGGAGAAAGCAGTTGGTAAACCCTTATTAGTTGAATTCATTCAAAGTCTGGAAGGTTCATGGAAAGTGAACATCGAGTTTGACGACGACCACTTGCAAGGGGACTTGAAGTATGATGCTGATCATAGTAAAGATGTAGATTTGGCAAGTCAAGATAAATTACCAAAAGATTCCCAGACGCAAAGCCAATCTGATCAATACAACCAAAGTATTAAAGAAGTTCAAAGCTTCCAGCAAAAGGAGCAGTTCAGACATCAACTTGCAAACAATCAGACTGTTAGAACCTTCCAGCAAAAGACAACATCAAATACACAAAGCATTTGTGAATTCAGAACCAAACCAACGGAAGTTAGAACCATCCAGCAAAAGACCAAGTCAAACACACAACAACGTAAATGTGAATTGACGTTCGCAACTAAGCAAATAAAGAAAGCAGCCATATATGTACAAACAAGTGTCAAAACAAGGGACATTTGGAGAAGAAAGTACAAGAAACAAAATTTCAAGCCAAAAGTTGTGGTTAACGCAGAACCACAATGTGAGACCAGTATTCCAGTGGCTAAAATTTCAGAAGGACTACAAGAAAATGTCCAACAAGAAAATAAAAACTCTGAGTCACTTGCTTGCGTTGCTCTGCATGATGTGAAAGACAGTGAGCCAGTAAAAATTTATGAGGATTTGTCTGTCGTGACTGATCATCCTCCCTCCCCAAAGACTTCTTTAAGGACCAATTTGGATCCACCACAGACCCTCTTCCAGGCCCCTGTGAAAATGAACTTCGAATATGAAGGATTTGCAGCAGCGGTCACAACCCCATCTGAATTTTATATCATTCTAGAGGATCTGCTTTTGATAGCAGATACAGTCTCATCCATTCTTGAGAACCTTCCTGAAGTGTTGGAACCATTACCTGAAGTTCATTTTGTTCCTGGTACGAGCTGTTTGGTGAAATTGGTGGAGAATCAAAAATGGTGCAGGGCAGAGATTGTGCAATGCGATTCAACTTCAGTGCTTATAAACTTGGTTGACTGTGGACTGTATTCTGTTCTGTCTCGGCTAGATGCCTCCCAGCTAAGAAAACTTCCTGAGGAGCTCGGTAGATTGCCTAAAGTCACCTACCATTGTTTACTAAGGGGAGTTAAACCCAATGCTCCAGACTGGTCTGATGATGCCATCCTGTTTTTTCAAAACTCCATGTGTCACAAGAACCTTAAGATACGCTTCAGACAACATGTTTCTGAGACACAATGGGAGGTTGACATTATCACCGGGAGTCAAAATCTTGCAAAGGAGTTAGTAGATTCTGATCATGCAATGTATATTGATAAGATGCTTGGAATCAGGTTTCAGCAAGACCAAGGACTCAATCAAGAGCCTAATCAACAAGCCATCTCCAGCACTGTGAATGATTTATCAATAATAACTGAGCACACAAGCGAAGCCAAGAAGCAGGTCACGTTGAGCGCAAAAAAGCCATCTGAAGAATCTGTTGGAGAAAAAGACACTTCAGACCATTTGAACAGCGGTGGGGATGATCTTGGACAAGTGGACAGGGAAACTCTTGGTCTACCATCAGGTATCAAACAATGTAAGTGTAGAACTTTTTAATCTATTGTATTAAGCTTTTTTTAAATTATTATTAATTGAAGGGATAGTTCACCCACAAATTACTTTCTTTCTTCTGTTAAACACAAAAGATGTTTTAAAAAGATGTTGGAAACCCTTGACTTCAATAGTGTTTGTTTTTCTTACTATGGAAATAGTTGCAGGTTATCATCTTACTTCAAAATGTCTCGTTTTGTGTTTGTGAGAAGAAAGAAACTCCATAAAGGTTTGTAAATGCTTAAGAGTGAGTAAATTTTCATTTTTGTGTGAAAATCACTTTAATAGTCTCCGGTTCATATACCACCAGTCAAATGTTTAGAGACGCACCTACCCAAGTACTCAAGCTAACCTTTAGTTTCAAAATTATGATGATAGTATAATAATCTCTACCATTTTTATTAATAATTAGGGTCTAATTCTTTCAAATGGATTTTTAGATTAGTCCAGTTAATATTATGTAAATGCTACATTGTTGCACATTATTAATTAATAAAGTGACAGTACTCAAAAATATAAATTGTGCCATTTAAAGTAGCAGTAGGTGATTTGTCTTCAGGAACATGTTTAGTTGTGCTGGTTAAAAGTCTCTTCACATTCCAATTGTAATGATTAAAGTAATTAGTCTAAATGTATTTATAGCCATTTTTATATTCTGAGTGAGGCATAATGGCTGCAGTATTTGTTTTTGACAGGTAATGTTTTGATTTAAAACTATTTTAGTCACGCAAAGCTTATATAGATTTTGTTACAAATGGGTTATATGCACAGAAGTGTTGTTCAACCACTAAAATCTTCCGGCAAAAGATTGATGTGATTATTTTCAGTATAATGAAGATTTTTATTTAATTTAACAACAAATTATCGGTAAACGGCACTATTCTGCCTAGCCTGATTTTCTGAGGTGAAGTTTTTTTTATATTCACATTGGTTCATTTTTGAACAATGACAACCTGTGAAGCGCTCCCTTTATTGTGACAGCCTTCCTTTACTGTTTACCATGCTACTCTGAATATTCGCTCTGAAATAGCATGTAAGTGTGGCAAATTAATAAATGTAATTCCTGCACGGTGCTGGCACTAACTAACTGGCGAATGACATGAACCAGTGGGTTGTCTGTCTGCTGTTGTGATGCGGTGCGAGCGCTTGCGATTTCAGGGGGTGTGGCTTTGAATCACAGTCCCTCCCCGCCGTGGGTAGGATTGTTAGTTTATCTTTAACCAGCCAAGAACATTCATTTCATTTTCCTTGACAGCAGTTTCAATGTAGTGAGTGGCCTCGCCATCTTCCCTGTCAGCTTGCTGTACACATATTGCTGTTTACGCTCTGCCGTAATACGCAGTGTATGAGTGACCGCTGAAATACCTTTGTGGCTAGAGTGACAGGTTCTTTCTGAACTGGTGACTTGCCTCACCGCAGTCAAAATTTGTTCTTTTTCACTTCTCTGTCGTCTTTTGTTTCACCTTTGCAGGGAGGAATTTTAATGTTGTAACAAATTATTTGATTACTTTCTCGCACTAATCGAAATGCATCACATGACTGTTCCTTTATTGCGCAAGCCAAGCCCGACCCGACCCCATCTAAAATGATAGAAATTAAACCCTAACCCGTTGGGTCTCGTCAGGTTCGGGCAAATTTAGCTCTAACTTGCATACATTGGCTTTCATAGTAATATATTTTTCTACTGCAAAGTGGGTGTCACAGCATTCTACATTATTTAAAATACCATTTGTGATCAACAAAAAAACTCAAAAGTTTAAAACCAATGAGAAAAAGTGAAAATACCTCACTCTGTTTTGTGTGTTAATCGAGCTTTTTGGATGTCATTGGCATTTGTATAGTTTGGTGATAGTGCTACCTCGTGGTCATGATGCTTGTTTACATTTTCCGAACAAACATTTTCTACGATTGACTTGCGTTGACTTCTATAGTAATATATTTCCTACTATAAAATGGGTGCCACAGCAACTTGCATTCTTCAAAATATCAATTTTTTGTTATCAACATCAAAAAAAATCATAAAGGTTTGAAACCACACCAGGAAGAGTAAATGATGAGGTATTTTTCTATTTTGTTTTGCGTTAAAGATTTTAGGTGTCATTGGCATTTGAATAGCTGTATAGTTTGGTGATAGTGCCACCTAGTGGTCATTATACATGTTTACATTAGTGAACGAGCATTTTGTATGATTGACTTACATTTTGTACGATTGACTTTTATAGTAATATATTTTTCTACTATAAAGTGGGTGCCACAGCAATCAACACTCTTCAAAATATTGTTTTTGATCAACAGAAAACTCATAAAGGTTTAAAACCACATGAGGAAGACTAAATGAGGCATTTTCTATTACTGGTGTGTTAAACAAATTTTTGGTTTCATTGGCATTTTATGGCCACCTAGTGGTCAGGATGCATGTTTACATTGGTGAACAAACATTTTGTATGATTAAAGGTGATCTGCCAGAATGCTAGCATTAGCGTAATAGCTTAGAAATTTTACGACCCTCCGCTGCCGTCCGCAGCCACGCCTCCTTAAATCATAAACACGTGAACTCGCACAGATTATATATAACACTAAATCATGTCATTCGCCACTTAGAAAACTCTATGGAGAGAACGCACTTTATCAAGCATAGTTGTTGATTGGCCAGAGGGTGCAGGAATTACATATCTCCAAAACTGTCACACGCTGTTGTGTGAATATAAATCAAACTTAACCTCAGTAAAGCTGGTTTGGCGGAAGAACATATTTACTTATGTTTTGTTATTAAACTAAATAAAAGTTAGATCAGAATAAAGGTTAGATCTGTTGAAAACAGAAATATCCTGTCATCTTTTTACGTTACCAAGACAACGAGTGACTTTTCACTTTCAGTTGTGCTCGCTGATCCGCGTACATCGCTTGTTTTCAGCTCTTTTTACACTTGAACAACTAAACGAATGCTCAGATCTATTTAACTGACTATATTATCGATGCTGTAAAAGGTTCTCTATGAACTTGACAATAGCCAACATTTTGGAGGACATTTTCAGTGGCTGAACAACACCTCTGAGCATATAAACCCATTTATAAACAAGAACAGAGTCTTCATCAGCTTTGCGTGGCTAAAATAGTTTTAAAACATACCTGTCTAAAAGAAATACTTCAGCCATGGTGTCACCCTTCAGATCGTTGTTTTGAACTGCATAACGTCATTGTCCTCCAGTGTGCAAAAGTAATTTCGATATTGATTTAGAAAAGTTTTGATTCTGCATTTTTGGCAGAAGCCCTTTCAGAAATAATCTTTCTATTCATGCACACATGGCCACGTTGGTCTTTTAGACAGAAGATCAGAATGATGCAGAGTTTGCAGGATGAAGTCTCTCTGTCAGCTGTAGATGCATAACTACACGTGTGTGCGCGCGCGCGAGTGACGTATTTGTCTGCTTAAAGAGGCTGCGCAGAAATTCAAATTTAAATGTGTTGACGGACAGTTTGAGATGCCTGTCATAATTGAGTTATTTGTCGGTCCGACAATATTTAATTAGATGAACATTTTTTTTGTTTTATGCATTATCCAGAATATAAAAATACATATAAATACATTTAGATCATTTACTTTAATCAGTACTATTGGAATGTGAGGAGACTTAACCAGCACAACAAAGTGTTTTTGAAGACAATCACCTACTGCACCTTTAACTTGCATTGACTTCCATAGTAATATATTTTTCTACTACGAAGTGGGTGCCACAGCAATCAACATTCTTCAAAATATCACTTTTGATCAACAAAAAAACTTCTAAAGGTTTAAACCTACACAAGGAAGACTAAACGAGATATTTCCTAATATTTTTAAGCTTTTTAGGTGGCCTTTGGCATTTGTATAGCTGTATGGTTTGGTGATAGTGCCACCTAGTGGTCATGGTGCATGTTTACATTGGTGAATAAACATTTTATATGATTGAAAGCAAAAATCAAATGCATCTATTGTCCAGACTTTAGGATGGAAGTGTTTTGTGAAGACCTTGATTTAGCTTTTTATTAAAATCATAACAGTAATAACCCATGTTGTTTTAAGTTTACCAATAAATATTCAATTACATTTTGATTTATGATAATAACCTGACTTCTTTTTTTTAAATTATTTTCTTAGGTATGCTGATGTGAGAAGACTTGTGGTTTGTAAGTATAAGAATATTGTTTAATTCTCTGTATGTTCAATATATAGACTATGTACACTTATTTTTTTCCTACTGACTTATTTCAGATCTGAGAAGCCGGCGAGTTACGCTCTGCATTGCATTCAAAGGAAAGTCAAGCTTTGCAATGGCTGGATTTAATTGTTTATTTTTTGGTTTAACCTCTGAATAGTGTTGTTCTCTAAAAGATGTTCTGTAGGAATGGAGAATTATGCTTCATACAGTAGGGAATAAATTGTGATGTTCAAACAGTAAGATCTAAAACAATAGTACAGTTTTAACAATGCAACGCTATATCACATTATTTTTCATAAGAGTTTTAGAACTAACATGTCAATTTTGGTCTTATGCATCTCTTAATGAACATGTGATTGATGAAATATAGCGGAGCTTAAAAGTTGCCACAATGGCTTTACAATCTGAAAAGCAGATTTTATTTGGTAAAAAGAATTGTCATACGACCCTGAGTTCGATTATGCTCTTTAACACACATTTTTAGAAATCGATTTTGCTTGTTTATTTTCATTTCTCTTATGTGAAAATTGTGGTTTTCAGTTCTGTTGGGATGCAAAATAAAAATACAATGTTTTGAAATGGTTGTGCGGGGAAAAGGTTGTTGTCAGAAGTGGGATTCGAACCCACGCCTCCAGGGGAGACTGCGACCTGAACGCAGCGCCTTAGACCGCTCGGCCATCCTGACTGTAGCAAAATGTGTGTTACACGCTATTATATCTATCACACTGTGCAAAGGTATACAGTTAAACGTGTTTTCATTACATTAACATCTATTTAACCTATGTTTCATATAAAACCTATGTGATGTGTATGGTGTTTAAGCTAAAGCAATACATTTAAACATGTATTTGGAACCATGACTCACTGGCAAACATTGGATGGAACATGTGATACAAAATAATACTGTCCACCAGAGGGCGCAATGCGGCTCAAACAGTCTTTAATCAATTTAATCAAGATGTTTTTGAGATGTTTTTATACTTTAACATATAATAATTTAAGCTAATACGATTTAGGGATTGCTGTTTGTGCTACTACTGAAGTGTTGCATCAGATTCAGTATAAAGTGTATGTGTGTGTCGTCATCATGGATATCTTTGGCCAAAAAGAGCCAAGCTTAATTTAAAATAGATTGTTTTTATTTTAATAAATGTCATAGTGTAATTTATTCTTGTGATTTAAAAGCTGATTTTCAGCATCATTAATCTAGTAAGAGTTACCTAAGAAATTGATACACTTAAGAAATTATTTTAATATACTGATTTGCTTATGATCAGTATTGATAATGGTTCTTATTCTGGCTCCAAATTTTTGTTGAAAAGTGATAAAGTTTTGTTTAAGTTTAAAAAGGATAGTTTTGGTAATACTAATTTGAATTGAAAGAGACATTTAATATACATAGCCAATTTTTATTGGAGCTTTCATTTTCAAACACGTTAAGGGGACATCTAATATTAAGTTTCATTATTTTGTTCCACTGCAGTAGCCTAATGTAAAAGAGCTGCATAAAAATTATTGGAGGTGTCAGCAGTTCACAGAATTTCTCCTTTTCGTTGAAATTGTTTAATATTTGGATGATTAAAAATATAACACCTTTTTTTTTATTTTTTTAGAAAAGTACTTTATAACCTTTGATTTTATCCATATTAAAAAAAGATGATCAGTTTGTTATATTACATGCCTAATGAATTATTATATATTAAAATATACTAGTGGCATTTAATGGTGCTCAAAATATTTGCTCAAAGTTCAATACATGAAGTACAAATGCATTTTTTCAAGATATTAATCTTTTTATTTACATGATCATGTTTGGTATTTTTTAAACAGAACAATGACACTCCAGAACAGCATTTTAAAGTCAGCAAAATTGCTCAATTATCTTAAATAAATGCAAATTATTACTTCACAAATGTTACAATTGTAATAACAAAACGTGTCATTTTTACATTAAATAGAACCCATGGAAACAAATTAGTAAACATAGTACAGTATTAGTAATTGTAATTAATAATAGTAACTTTAATAGTCTCTCGGTTTCTCTCGCGAGCCAGCAATCGGCCTCTCCTCTCGCGTGCATTCGGTTTCTCTCGCGCGCAATCGGCCTCTCTGCCTTCGGTCGACCTTTGTCCACTCCTGCGCTTATATTATATCAATTTAAATCGTTAGAGTAACGGTTTAGATTATAGTTACAGATTTTTGTTTTTCGAAAATGACTTTAGTAATCATAAATGCATTATTTCACGACGCAAGAAATTATATCAAACTGAAAATAATTTTTAAGAAATTCTTAAAGCAAATCGTCAGAGATGACAGTTACGGTTAGTTTTTCTAAAATGACTTTAATGTTATTTGTAATTTGTTAATGTGATTAGCCTGTTATTTTACACGACGCAAGAAATTATATAAATTATCATGTATATATTTTAAAGGTAACTTACAGTGAAATCGTCACGGTTGCGGTTATACGACCCAATGATATTCAGGAATGTGTAAATATTCTTCAAATAAAACAAACTTTTACAGAGATTACGGTAAGTTTTTCCAAGTATGAATTTAGTAAATAGGCAAATCATAAATAAAGTTAGCCTATTCTTTTACGCGACGCAAAAAAATGATAAAAAGTTAAAACAAATGTGTAGATATAGGCCTACTTCATATACATCAATTTAATTAGAAATTACAGTTAGTTTTTCCCAAACATAAATTTACTAATTGTTAGCCTAAATATATTATTTTACACGACATAAATATAAAACAGATGTGTATTTTTAAGCGATTTAAATTGTCAAATATGTTATGGTTAGTTTTTCAGAAATGGCTTTTTTCCTAATCATAAGTACATTTACACTACGCAAGAAATGATATAAAACAACTGTATTTTAAAGATATTTTTCAGGTTAGGCTATATTAATTTAATTCGTCAGATATAATAGTTCGTATAACGTTAGCCTATTATTCTACTCGACACGAGAAATTATGTTTATAAAACAAATTTGTATTTTTGAGATATTCTACAAAGCTAAATCTTCAGACATTGTATTTAAATTTTTTTTCTAAAATTGACTTTATATGTTAGCCCACTCGTTTACACGACACAAGAAATGATATAAACCAGAAATTTGTTGGCCTATTTTAAGATATTCTTCAAGTAATAGCCTATTTATATCTATTGATAGCTATTAATAATGTTCTATGACCTAAGTAACCATAATAATGTTACTTAGCCTATTCTTTTACACAACACGGACATAAGAAATAATAAAACAAATGTAGATATTCATCAAGTAATCAACTTGTTAGAGGTAATAGTTCCAGTTAGTTTTTTTCGAAAATGACTCTAGAAATCATAAATAACGCTAGCCTGTTCTTTTACACGACACAAGAAATGTGTATTTGTAAGCAAGCAATTTCAATCGTCAGATTTCAGTTATAGTTAGTTTTTCGAAAATGACTTATTTCCTAATTATAAATATACTTTTACACGATGCAAGAAATTATATAAAACAGAAATGTGTATTTTTAAGATATTTTTCAAGTAATATCAATTTAATTAGAGATGATAGTTAAAGTAAGTGTTTCCAAAATTACTTAAGTAATCATAAATACGACACGAGAAATGATATGAAACAAGAAATGTATATTTTAAAGATTTTTTTCAAGCAATTTAAATCGCCAAAGATAATTGGTTGTGTTTTTCGAAAATGACTCTCCTAATCACAAATATTCTTTTACGCAACGCAAGAAATGATAAAAATCATCTGAATGGCACACACGGAAATGTGAATGGCCTGCTAAGCCCAGCCCCCTTTTTATCGTGCTCAAACTTCAAAATCTTTCTGGGTCATTCTAGCTCTATGCACCACGTGACCTGTACCACATGTCATGTCATGTGACTGTGAGTGGTTCCTGCTACACGGGTAATGATCAGTAATCAGAAAGGACTGCTGTATCATGTCGGAAGAAGCGCACTAATAAATTTCCTTGTGTAAAATATGGGTCGTGTTGGATTTTGCGGAGTCGCTGCTACTGTTATTATTAATACTTTTCTATTTCTACAATGCGTGTCGTCAGCGGCGGCTTCGGATGACAGCCTATGGTACCAGGATCTGTGCAGGTGAGATCCTAAATAAACAAACACTCTTAACGATGATCTTTGCTGGATAGGATTGACGAGTATCACATAAACACTCGTTAAGATGTGATTAATTAAGATTAAACGTGTTTTACTTTCCTGTTTATTGCAATTTATATGATGATAGAGTGATAGTTGTGGCCCTGACTGCATTTAGGTATCTAGACCCAACCTATGAAGTAAAGTTGGTTGCAAATGATAAAATTTTTTAACAGTAACACGTTCTTTATATTGTTTACCAAGCTATTTTAAATATTCCGTCTGTAATCACATACATGCATGACTTCAAAACAATATTAGTACAATTTTATTGACTGTGAACACTGTTGGTGTTCGATAGTCATTGCATTTACAACTTGTGACACCGTCTCTATTTTGTTTACCACTCTAGTTTGAATATTCGGTCTGAAATCTCATGCAAGTCTGACTTTAAAACAGCATTAGGATTATTAAGTCAAAATATGTTAATATAAAACCAACTTTACATCAATGTCACTGGGTGCTAATATGATTTCCCTGTTTAGAATTTGCAAATAATACTTTTCTGAAACTATTATTAAAAAGAAAGTACGAATGTGCGAATATAAACCAGCTTTACCTCAATGACCCAAATTAACAGCACAATAGATAGATACTTTTGCCAAATCAGACAATGAAATGTATTCATTTAGGCACTGGCCTTCTTTTTATGATTGAGCCTTCATGTCATGTTGCTGATGTCAATTCTGCTCAAGATGTTTGATTCTTTGTGCAAGTTACTTAAAAAAAATGTAATCGATTACATAATCATTGCGATGTTTCAATTACTTTTCTAATTACTTAGTCTGAAACGTAATTTGGTTGCTTGATATGTAATAGAAAGTAATGTCTGATTATGGAATCTTGGCTCAATTTTTTTACATTTGAGTCAAACAGTATTGTTTATTTTAGTTTAAAATATATATGTACAGTATATATATTAGGGCTGCACAATATATCGATATCTCAATGTGATCATTCGCAATGGTCACATCACGAGTATATGCAGTGTGGAGTCTGGATTATAATTAACCATTTCTCGAGTGTTTTTGAGGCCTGTGACTGGTGGGGGGGTTAAAAGCATCCAGGCTTAACAAATTGTACCATGTGCAACATTGACAAATGAATATCGATTACAGTATATTATCTACAGTATTCATTGGCATTTTATTTTTCAATTACTGTATATCTGAATACGGTTCAACTGTATCTTTTTCTTGATTGAATTTATGCTTTTAGATTTGTTCTTATATTTTTTGCTCTCCCCTACAGAACCGTCCCGATCAATTTTTAAAATTATACATTCTTTCCAAATAATTATGGAATTAATCTAGTGAATTTGTATTCATATTGCAATATATATCACAGAATAAACAAATATTGCACTGTTATATTTCCAATACCGTGCAGCCCTAGTATATATACACACCATAACACAAAAGTTTCAAAGAAATGACACCATATTTCATACATATGACTTTTCATACATTTACATTTACGCTTTTTACATCTAATGTGCAGTTTACAGTCAAATGAATCCTTCTTTAGTTGAAAAATTTTAGTTAAAATGCAGAATAGTATATATTAACAATTACTACCCTAGATTTAGATTTCTACCCTATATTGTCATAACCTAACTCTCAGTTGATTTTTATTCTTAAGCACGTACAGTTGCCTTAGTAAATCTTCTTTATTTGAAAAACAGAGTTTAAATGCAAAATATCTGAATAACAAAAAATCTATATATTTTTAATTACTCTGCTGAATTTTAGCCCTATATTGTCATAACCTGATTCTCTGTCATTTTTTCTTAAGCACATGGAGTTGTCTTTATAAATGATAAATGTTATGTAGTTGAAACATCTACAAAATATATATCATTCTACTTCTCTGAATTGATTTATACAAAATGGTTCAATTTAAATGCAACGGTTAAGGCAGGTACATTAAAATGACCTAATTGAAATAGCCTAAAATGTAAAAAATAGTCCATTACTTTACTTTTTTAGAGCTAAAATAGGCCTAATTTATTACTGTGACCAGTTATTTTGTATCTAAATCCACTCAACACTGATTGTCTGTTTTTGTGTTTGTGTGTGTGTGTGAAGTTACAAATGGGAGGCCATTGATAAGGACAACAATGTGAGCTACGCTCTGAAGCTTTGCGATTCATCTCCAAAAACAGAATGTGGAGAAGGAAGTGCGGTCTGTGCCCACTATCTTACAAGTGGGCAGCATCAGTCAGTGGGTAAGTACATCGCGCTAGTGTGCCATGATTTCACAACAAACACCTGTGTTGCAAAGCTGTTTTTTAATAGTACAACACATTTAATATTTGTATCATGTTGAGATTTTCCATTGAAAGTAATTGCGGTGTGAATAAACTGTTCTTAATCACTTTGTATTATGAAAAAGCGTGTCAGTGCCATTATAACAGTCCTAATGGAAATATAATTTCTAGATATGTGATCATGGATGACAAAACTTATTATTTTGCATGGGTACATTTTTAGCTTTAGGCAAAAATACATTGTATGGGTTTAAATTAAAGATTTTTCTTTTATGCAAAAAATAATTAGATTATTATGTAATGTACACCTACCCTGAAAAAATTTATTAAATTTCCTACTGTGAATGTTTTAAAGCATTTTTATTAGTTGCGTGCATTGCTAAGCACTTAATTTGGATATCTTTAAAGATGATTTTATCAGTATTATTTAGATTTTATCAGTATTTAAACCCTCAGATTCAGGATATTTAACTAGTTGCATCTCTGTAAAATATAATCCTAATTAAACAAAGTAGATACAGTTGAAGTCAGAATTATTAGCCCCCTTCAAATTTTTTTTCTCCTTTTTTAAATATTTCCCAAATAATGTTTAACAGAGCAAGGAAATTTTCACAACGTGTCTGATAATATTTTTTTCTTCTGGAGAAAGTCTTATTTGTTTTATTTCGGCTAGAAGAAAAGCAGTTTTAAATTTTTTTTAACACCGTTTTAGGGACAAAATTATCAGCCCCTTCAAGCTAAATTTTTTGTCGATAGTCTACAGAATAAACCATCGTTATAGAATAACTTGCCTATAACCTAATTAACCTAGTTAAGCCTTTAAATGTCACTTTAAGCTGTATTGAAGTGTCTTGAAAAATATCTAGTCAAATATTATTTACTGTCTTCAGAAGAAAGATAAAATCAATCAGTTATTAGAAATGAGTTATTAAAACTATTATGTTTAAAAATGTGTTAAAAAAGATCTTCTGTTAAAAAGAAATTGGGGAATATAAACAAGCGGTCTAATAATTCAGGGGGGCTAATAATTCTGACTTCAACTGTATGTATATATATTAGTATTTAGATACTGAAATTTTTAAATTTATAATTTCAAAATCAAAATTTTAGGCATTAAAAATTCACTGAAATATTGTGTTGTAGGTCTTAAATCATTTTAAACGGGTATTAATTTTCCCATGTCCAAATAAAGCCACCCAATCGGACCAACACCTGTACAATCACTAACATTCCATCTCAAAATACCTTTTAACAAAAGTTTATTTATTAACTCTATTTACCAATTCTATTTATATTTCTGTTTATATACATATGGTTTTAATTATCTTCCTTACTATAACATTTGTTTTTAATGTTTTAACCGGGCCATTTGAAAAATCCTTAGAGTTTAGCCTTGTTCAGTAATTCATTCATTTTCTTGTCGGCTTAGTCCCTTTATTAATCCGGGGTCGCCAACCGCCAACTTATCCAGCAAGTTTTTACGCAGCAGATGCCCTTCCAGCCACAACCCATCTCTGGGAAACGTCCACACACACATTCACACACTCACTCATACACTACTGACAATTTAGCCTACCGCATGACTGTGGGGGAAACCGGAGCCCGGAGGAAACCCACACGAATGCAGGGAGGACATGCAAACTCCACACAGAAACGCCAACTGAGCCGAGGTTCGAACCAGCAACCCAGCGACCTTCTTGCTGTGAGGCGACAGCACTACCTACTGCGCCACTGCCTCGCCCGTTTAGCCTTGTGCAAGTCAGAAATTTTATTCATAATGGTCTTAAAATGTCTTAAATTTGACTAGATGAAACCTGTAGAAACCCTGTGATTTTTGTGTTCACGGGTCACATATTTACTTTATGCAGTATACCATTCCTATGTTCTTAATGTGAAGTATAGTGTGACAGTTATTAGAATTTAAATGACATGTTAGTCATGTGATAAATTTTTATCAGTCATTATTACTTCAGTATTCAGTGTCACATGCGCCCTCAGAAATCATAAAATGCTGATTTAGTGCTCATTTCTTCTCCAGTTTTGAAAACACTTTTGATTTCTAAACCATGATATAATTATGATTTTATGGCTCCGAATCGAGAGGTCAAAATATAAGTTATTTATAGTTTTTGTTATTTTCTAAATGGCTTCTCTGTTACTTTGGATTGGATTAATGCATCATTGCTTAATAAAATTGCTAAGTTTTCAAAAACCCAAAACCTATTGACTGCACACTTTTGAACAATAGTGCTTATTTTTAATTGCAAATCCTTTAAAAGGGGTACACTTTAAAAAACATTTGTTATGTATTATTATATGTTGTTAATGTTTTTAAATTATTATTGTAGTAAACCTACAGTGCTCAGAATAAATAAGTACAGATCTGTCTTTTAAATGAATACTTTCTATGGGTGCTAAACCAAAAAAAAAATGAGTATAAAAATTTGTACTAGGGCTACACAAAATATATTATTTAGCCTTGTTTTAGCATTTAGATGTCGTAATGTGTGAATCCGCAGTAGTTACATTGAAGGACGTGCAACCTGGAGTCATGATTGCAGTTGACCAGGTACAACAGTTCATTTCAGTCATTGCAGTTTAACTGTAATAAAGTCAGATTTTATCAGTTGCTTGTGTTTTTAAGGCCTGTTAACATTTGAAGCAAATTTAAAGCATTTGAGCACAAGGAATTATAATTATTAAGTGTGTAGCTTTAACAATGCCAATTGTATTTAATTATTTACACAATGAAGACTAAACAGCTTTATTGTACATGTGACTTTTTTATTTCTATATCCTGTAAATCTCTGATATAAAGGATATCTCTGATTATTATATTTTATGCTAATGTATTCCCCTAAAAAAATTATCCCAATTAATCTAAAATGATTTCTTAACTTTATTGTTTAGCTATCTTGCGGATTATTGCAATATAAATAACAGAAAATCTAAATCGTGCAGCCCTAGTCAGTACCAAAGCCAAAACTGAAACTAATCTAAGAAAATAGCTTAAGATCACAGTGCAAAATTAATACACCACAATAAATATGTTAGGAAAAAACTATTAGATACAATTGTAATAAAAATGAAAAATCCAGAGGACCATAAAAAATGTTACATTTAGCTGAAATACTGTAGTTTATCATTTTTGCAACCCCTCATTTGAATTTAAAAGTATTTTCTTCCTATTCCTGAAGATGTTTTAGTGACCACACTTTTATTTTAATAAAAATTACTGTTTAATAAAACATACAACAACATATATTGTAAATATTCGCTGAGAAATAGATAAAAATATACATTTTCAAAGGGGTTATGCATTAATCTGTAAATTCACAGTGCAAAAATGAGTACATTCCAATAAATATGTAAAAGAAAACTTTAAAATAAAAATGTAATAAACCATAAAAAAATTGCATTTAGCTGAATACTGTAGTTTTTTTACAGCCCCTTATTTAAATTTAAAAGTCTAATCTTTCTATTCCTAAAGATGTTTTAGTGACCACACTCTCACTTTAATAAAAAATACTGTTTAAACACACACCAACATATATTGTCTATATTCACTAAGAAATGGCAGAAAAGTATTATCTTTCTGGTCTTAAATATGGTATTTTAATAAAAAATTGCATTTAATAAAACTGTTCATTTAAATACATCAACACTTATTGTCCATATTGACTGAGATATGGTTAAAAATATATATTTTTCAAAGGGCGGTGTGCTCATTTATGCTGTGTACTATATTTTATAAAAAAGTTGTTGTTCATAAACTGTAAATGTGATCAGTTATTTCCATCAAATCATCATTAGCGATGCGCAAAACTGGAATATCGCATAAAAGACAAGCGAATAAAGCAGCGTTTCCATCCAATGAGTCAATAAGAACAAAATCCCCACTTCCTGATTTACTGGCACAAAATATCAAATATAAAAACAGAATTTGCTGAGGTAGGAGAAGCTGCGTCAATCTTTTCTTCATTTATTAAATGACATGCAATAAACACGTGATGGCATTTGAAGGCGTGAGATGAAGGTTTTTGGAGTGATCTCCTTAAACAAAATCACATGACTTTTTAATGTGCATACTTTAATTTGTTCGACAAAAGTGTTTCCATCATAGTTTATGTGCATCTTTTCTTATCAAATGAAAAAATACCCTCAGTTATGCACATTTGTTTGTTTATGAATTAATTAAATTAAAATTTAGTTGCATCTTGGTGTTTCTATCAACTTTTTTTTAATACACATATCCAAAATGCGCATAGAAAAATTGGTGGATGAAAACATGTCTATTAAAGCTGATATGACAATAAACTCAAAACTCTGAGCAGTAGTTGTATATAATTTCACTTTCGTTACATTTCAGTTCATTTTGTGGTGCAGTGTGACCAGAACGTGATGGGGTAATAATGTTTCCTATTGATTCAATCGCCAAAATGCTGAGACGATTTGTTTTTTTGCCTGGTCTGTAATCACGTTAAACCTTAAAATGCTTCAAAGGAACTGCCAAATGGTTCTCATTACTTTTAACCATCTTTGCAGTAGAAAAGTCTGTCACCCAGGGCTGTATTAAATGCTCATTGCTCTTATCTGTTCGCTTGTTTGTTTGGCCTTATCCAACTAGTCAGCTGACCTCCATATGACACTAATCTGTCATCAAAATATAGCAACCAATAGCGGAGTCCGATTCTGTTAGCTCAGAACAAACACCAGAGATATTACATCATAAATCATGTGACAAAATATGATGACATGCAGATTGCATCTGTGTGCTAGTATTCATATCTCTAGCATGAAGTACAGGAGTTGTTTATTTTGTAGATCTAACTAAAATGCAGTTGTGTATTGTTTATTTATTCCTGATGAAATAACTTTTTTTTTTTTTTTTTTTGAAAAGCAAAAACAAAAAAGTAAAAATATACACTCACTGGCCACTTTATTAGGTACACCTGTCC